AAAAAAATACTTATATAAAATRTATGCAGAAATACTAATAAAGAAGAATTTAAAGGAATTAGAGTGACTAAAGCTCTAAATACGTGGGTTAAAACACGTACCTCAACAACGGGACGAAAACCCTTGATGCGCACAGAGTAGGAAAAAGGGAAAGATTTTCGGGTGTTACAATCCTTCCCACCTTGGGTTCAATTTCGTCCTCGAAATTTTAGTTCACTTGAAAAGGTAAGGATAACGCCTCTTTAAATCCTCTTACGTTTCCCACGTTACGTTTGACCCTCGGTGATGTTTCCATTGTACTTTAACCATGACAATTTCTTTGTGTCTCAACACCTTAATCTTCCTTTCTAGGATGGCCTCCGGCTCCTCAACGCACCGGTTGGTCTCGTCCACAAAAATTTCCGAAAGTGGAATAACACTTTATTCTTCCGCTAAGCACTTACGAAGGTAACACACATGGAATGTGTTATGTATTCCGGCCATCTTTGATACTAGTTCTAATTTGTAAGCCTTAGGTCCCACCCTAGCCAAGACTTTAAACGGTCCAAGGAAACGGGGGCTCAGCTTCCCACGTTTTCCAAAACGGATAATTCCCTTCCATGGTGACACCTTTAGCATTACGCGGTCGCCCACTTGAAATTCTATTGGTCGGCTCTTCTTGTCTGAGTAGCTCTTTTGTCGATCCTGTGCCGCCTTTAAACGTTCCTGAATACATTTCACATTATCGGTCGTATCTTGAATGATTTCGGGGCCGGCGAATTGTTTCTCACCCGCTTCAAGCCAACATACAGAAGTCCTATATTTTCGACCATATAAAGCCTCAAATGGTGTTATTCCGATGCTGGAATGATAACTATTGTTGTAGGCGAACTCCACCAGGGGTAGGTGGGAATCCCAATTCCCGCCAAAGTAGATAACACAAGATCTAAGCATATCTTCGAGTGTTTGAATGGTCCGCTCACTCTGGCCATCGGTTTGAGGGTGGTAAGCCGTACTCAGCTTCACTCTCATGCCCAACTCTTTCTTCAACCCACTCCAAAAATGGGAGGTGAATCGGCTATCTCGATCTGACACTATGGACAACGGTATACCGTGCCGCGAGACTACTTCATCGATGTATAACCTGGCGAGCTTGTCCATGGGCATCGATTCGCGCATAGCCAAGAAATGGGCGCTCTTTGTCAGACGGTCAACTACCACCCATATCGTATCATGACCTCTTAAGGTCTTCGGCAGTTTGGTCACGAAATCCATCGTGATATGCTCCCATTTCCACTCGGGGATCTCCAAGGATTGAAGGCTACCATAAGGTCGTTGGTGCTCCGCTTTCACTTGCAAACAAGTCACGCACCTCTCTATGTAACGAGCCACATCTAGCTTCATAACTGGCCACCAATATGTCAGTTTCAAGTCCCGATACATCTAGGTGCTGCCTGGATGAATTGAGTATTTAGACTTGTGTGCGTCTTCTAGTAACAGTTCGCGATTACCTCCAATCTTGGGTACCCATATTCGCCCTCGAAAAAGCTTCAAGCCATGGCCATCCTCTGTCAACAGCATGCGTTGTTTCATCATTACTTCACTCTTGAGGTTTTCTTCCAGGAGCGCTTCAGATTGCGCGACCTTGATCCGATCGATCAGGTTGGACATTATATCGATCCTGGTGAGCACAACTTTTGTCCCACTACCGTACTCTTTTCGGCTCAAAGCATCCGCCACTACATTTGCCTTACCCGGATGATATAGAAATTCACAATCGTAGTCCTTGAGCAGCTCAAGCCAACGTCGTTGCCTCATGTTTAGTTCTTTTTGATCAAAAATATACTTCAAACTCTTGTGATCCGTAAAAAGCGTGCACTTGGTACCATAAAGGTAATGACGCCAAAGTTTTAAGGTGAACACCACCGCCGCTAATTCCAAATCGTGGGTAGGATAGTTCTTCTCATGATCTTTGAGTTGTCTTGAGGCGTAGGCAATCACTTTTCCCCTTTGCATCAAGACACAACCCAACCCCGTTTTTGAAGCGTCGCTAAAGACTACAAAGTCTTCGGACCCCTTCGGCAAGGAGAGAATCGGGGCTTCACACAATTTCCTTTGGAGAGTTCTGAAGGCATGCTCTTGCTTCTCCGTCCAAATAAACTTCACATTTTTTCTAGTCAAGGTCGTTAAAGAGGAAGCAACCTTGGAGAAATCTTGGATAAATCTCCTATAATATCCCGCATGACCCAAGAAGCTACGGATTTCTGATGGACTCTTTGATGGTTCCTAGTTCATCATCGCTTCAATCTTGGATGGGTCTACCTTCACCCCATCTCGAGTGACAACATGACCCAAAAATTAAACCTCATTCAACCAAAAGTCACACTTGAAGAATTTTGCATACAACTTCTCCTTTCTTAGCATTTCGAGGACCTCCCGAAGGTGTTGTTCATGATCCGATTTGTCCTTGGAATAAATAAGTATGTCGTCAATGAATACAATTACAGACTTGTCGAGGAATGGTCGGCAGACCCGATTCATCAAGTCCATAAATACTGCTGGTGCATTCGTCAAATCGAAGGGCATGACCAAGAATTCATAGTGCCCATAACGTGTCCTAAAAGTTGTCTTTGCCACGTCATCATCTTTCACACGTACTTGGTGGTACCCCGAGCGAAGATCGACCTTCGAGAAGCAACTTGCTCCCTGAAGTTGGTCGAAAAGGTCGTCGATCCTGGGGAGAGGATATTTGTTCTTTACAGTTGCCTTGTTGAGTCCTCGGTAGTCAATACACATCCTCATGGTGTCGTCCTTCTTTTTTACAAATAAGACCGGAGCTCCCCACAGTGACGAACTCGGTCTAACGAATCTTTTCTCAATAAGGTCTTGCAACTGAGACATCAGTTCTTGCATCTTGAAAGGGGCCAGACGGTAAGGTGCTTTATCAATTGGAGCGGTTCTCGGAATAAGGTCTATTTGGAACTCCACTTGTCTAACGGGTGGTAAACCGGGCAAGTCTTCCGGGAATACGTCAGGAAAATCTCTAACCACCTTCACGTCTTCAATTTTCCTTATCTCTAGCTTGGTGTCCAACACATACGCAATGAATGAGGAGCATCTCTTAGCCAATCCATCCCGATTATGATATCGAATCCGCCTATAGCCATGGGTATGAGGTCCACCCGAAATTCCTTTCCTTCAATCCCCAAAACACAATCTCTAACAATTTCGTGCACCAAAACTTGACTACCATTTGCTATCTCTATGATTAACGCATCTTCTAGAGTACTAGGTGGCGTATGCAAGTGTTGATAGAATGTAGTGGACACAAAGGAACATGAGGCACCTGAATCAAAAAGGACATGAGCAGGTACGGAGTTAACAGTGAACATACCCGACATTACATCCGTCGACGTCTTAGCTTCTTCTCTCGACATCTGAAAAGCCCGACCGATTGCTTTCGGGGCGCCCTCTTTTCTCCCTTGACTCCCACCTGTTTTCAACTTTTGGCAATCATTCTTGAAATGGCCCGGTTCCCCGCATCCAAAACATATGGGTCCCTTGATTGGACACTTGTTCCGCGTGCGGCCTGTCTTCCCACACTTAAAGCATTTGATGGGGGTAGAGTTGGTGCTACACGGGCCTTGATGTTTGTTGCGGCACTTGGGACACCATTTTGTCTCTTGTTTAGGATGGGCTCCGTGATTGTTGTTGCTAAAGTGATTTGGCTTTTTGGATGGTGCGTAGGGCCCTTCCCACTTCCTCTTCTCACCACACGACATCCTTTCTTCATTTCCCTTAACATAAACTGATTCCAAGACCTTGGCTTCTTCGATTGCTTCCCTGAGGGTGGAAGCTCTTGAGTTCCTAACCATTACCATCATGTCCGCATGTAGTCCTTTAAGGTAGGCTTTCATCTTATCTTTCTCCATTGGGGCCACGTGTCCCACCAAGTTTAGCTTTTCCATAAAGAGTCGGGTGTAGTCCCTTACTGATAAATTTCCCTTCTTCAGGGTTCGGAATTCTTCTTCGATACGATCCATCTCTTGTTCATTGCAATACTCTTCCATTACTTTTTCCTTGAATGTGGTCCAACTCATCTTGGTCAATTCAGTAACCTCGATGGTCGAGATGACAATGTTCCACCAGGTTAGAGATGCACCCCTCAGCATTTGAGAGCCAAACTTCACTTTTTGCCCCTCGTCACAGTCACAAGCCCGGAAGGCTTACTCGATTTCCCGGAGCTAATTCATGCACACCACGGGATCATCTGACCCCACAAATTCTGGTGGCTTGCAACATAGGAAGGTCTTGTAAGAGCAAATTCTACCCATTTGTCTCGCCTTAATCGTTGCTAGCTCCTGGGTTGGGATTCAATTTCCCGTACCTCCGGATCCCCCCATAGTTACATTCTCGGCAACTGCTTCATGTTTACGAGTATTACCATATATGTCCTCCAAAAGCTTCATAAAGAACTCTTGTTGTTGGGCCATGGCTCGGTTTATGGCGTTCATTATAGTGCCCATTATTCTTGATTCTGGGGTTTCTTTTTTCCATTACGGGGTTAGAGGTGACAAGGTCGACTTGGGGAACGTGGTCATCTCCACTGCCCAAGGTGTTTTGCCTAGGGGGAACCCTTGCGATGGTGATTCGAGGCGGTTGATCCGCTGTAGATTCAGTTACCGCATGACCTTTCGGAGAGGTATCCCGTCTACTCCGAGTATTAACCATTAAAGACTGTCATACAAGAGAGTGAAAGAGAATTATGATAGGACGAACACGGGATTAACATAATACTTACCGAAACATTCATAAATTCTTGTAATAACAGTAAGTTCAAGCATGCTTGTGTAATAACTTACTCAAAATAGCATTAGCTAAGTGAAATTTTGAATAGGTTATACATAAGAATTCTTAACACCATCGTCACAATTCATGAACGGGGTAGCTCCGATGACCCTAGTGCTCTCCTACCTTAAAAGTTTCTACCCACATCTCACAATTAATATTTACAATCTCAGCTTAAGTCTAGGCGTCATGATCCCTTACCTAGTTCACTAAAACTAGTGCTCTGATACCCACTTGTAACACCCAAAAAAAGAAAAGATAATTTAAACCTAAAATATTAAACGAGAACCAAAATCTTGAATTAAAATCCACCCAACAAAAGGTAAAAGTATAGCGTTTACAAAACAACTACTGAGAAGATAAATAACAACCTACTAATCTAGATTATTCTATATTCAGATTAAAAACGGGTGTTTTTATCAATCTCCAAAAATATCGAACATCAAATGCAACGCTTAAAAGTAACAAAGGCTATAACTACAAAAGAGCCTTTCACGAACCAACCGCTCCTCTCAACCCTTTTTAGCCCCGCAGCTAAAGGAACCTGATATACAAGCCATATCAAGAAGAAGTGTTAGGCTTACGCCTAGTAAGTTCAATCAATGAAATAATGGTAACTATAAAACCTTGTAAATATGGATATATATATATATATATATATATATTTATACATATATACAGATTGACATAAATTCAAACGATGTAAGAAAGCAATTAATCCAAAATATTACGCGGAGGAGCCAGAACATCCGAGGATGACGGGGGAGACCCGATTTACCGTTGGTTATGACAGACACAAAGTAAGTCATAAATCGACGTTATAGAGCATCACTTACAGGTTTAATACCATCGACATCAACCTAAACCAGTCATGTAGTCGATCGTGATCCTAAGCTCTTTATCTCGGAAATTACATAATAATCGCAATGCCTATTTCCGAGTGGGGTGAGAAGGTGAATTGGAAATTACATAATAATCACAATGCCTAAATCCAACTTACATCATCCTTCACACGATTAAACAAAACGACTTTCATGCCCGTAATCCATTACCTCATAATATCATGTTCAAAGGCTATAACTTAAGCATAAAGGCACTTATTCACAACATGATCTTTATATGATTCCTTAATCGCATATAATACCCTTCTTTACTAGAAAGGTATACCATATGAAACTAAAAGGGGTTTTCTCTTTAGCTTTATGACCAAGAGAAAATACAGTGAGGATATGGATCCCATTTATTGATTAAAGTCCCTTCTTAACTCATCCAAGTATAACTAATGAAATTCCCAAGTTTATGCACTTTTCACCTAAAACATTCTCTTCATTAAAGTGAGTAAAATCTATAAAATTTTAGGGCATATAATAAGTAAAACACACCAACACGAATAGTATGAGTCCTCATAAAAAAAAGGAGTGGGGTGAACTCACTTGTAGGATTTAGAAGAAATCCTAATTTCTCGGGATTAATCCGATAGACGCAGCGTAAGCGAAGAAAACCGGACAGCAGCGACTGTTGTTGCTGTTTTGATGTATGTTGTTCGCTAAAGCACGACCGCGCCTGCTGATTGATGATCGGGCAAAGGACGCAAAGAAAAACAGCACCGTAAGGGTGCTGTTTGCTGTCTGCCGAATGGGTACGAGATGCAGCCAAGGAAAAACAGCACAACAATGGTGTTGTCTGCTGCTTGCTGTTAGCGAGATGGCACGGCAGCGACTGTTGCTGCCTAAAACGGTCCCAAAACACGCAAGTGACGGGGAAAGAATTAAGGGTACGCGGTTGGAGGGTCGAGCAGAATGGAAACAACAGAACAGCACCCGCTATTCACGCGAGGCTTGCGAAGGAAAAGACTGATAGTGCCTGCAGTTTTGCCGAAGTGGCTCCATAACAGTTCAGCCGAGGCTGCTGTTTGCTCGACGTAGAGACGAAATACAGATCAACAGCCGTGGATGTTTTGGCGAAGCAGTCCAGTAACAGCACCGTTGTGGCTGTTGTTACCGCACGAAGAAAACCGTAAGAAAAAACTAAACAGTAGCCAAAATCATCTGTTGTTGCTGTTGCTGTTTCCGAAGGGTGAAGAACGGCAGCGCCTTCTGCTGCCAGATACCGACTAAAACGCAAAGAGGTCGGGGGGATGAAAGATTGGGGCTGGA